AAATTATAAAATATAATATAGAGCTAAAAATAAATATATACTAATATAGGAAAAAAATAAATTCTATTACAGTATCTATCTGAACTAAAGTCAATTACCCCAACGCATAATAGATCGGTTTGTAATAAATCGTTAACTTTTACTCCACAAAGTTTCGCATAAATATGATCATGGGATCGCGTCCCTCCATTCTCGAATGCGCTTTTCAAAATAGCTATGTTGTTAGATGCCTCATTTTTCCAGTCTTTGTATTCTTTAAAACCCCCTTTCAATTCACCTGCATCTATCAACGATATGAGTTCATCACAGGTATAATTGATCTAAAAAAAATAGAATGGTTTAATATAATTAGTATAGTTACAGAACATCATTCTTGCGCAAGTCAGACTCACCTAATCAGTAATTGCCAGCATTTTTACTGTCCATAAACAGCATTATAAGTATAATGAAAAAGAACCCTCGTTGGTGTATAACTTAATTCGATCGCATTATACTTATTAATTGGTGACAGACTACATTCATCATTTTTATAAATAATATTGAAATGTTATTTTACTTACTCTATTAATGTCTTGCAATACTATAATATGTTGTCTACGTTCTTTATTCTTAATATTACTTTCAAAGCTTTTTAATATATTCATAAGACATTCGCAATCTTCTTTTTTAGATTGGATCTTAAATAGTTTCCATTGCTGAGTGAAGATTCTCGAAATGGTGATTTTGTCTAAGGAAGCAGTTTTTAAAAAGTTACATAATGGAGCGAAGACTTCAGTTGAGCTAGACATGATTTAGGTAATTAATAAATTTTTATATATAAAATATTGTTAGCTCTGCTGATATGTTAAAACAGTGTAAGAAATAATCACTATAAAGCGACAAATAACCATAACTTTGAGATACTGCCCTTTTATATGTTTTTTCTTTCATCTTTTCTTTGAAACTTGAAATGTTGGAAAGGTTAGGCAGAAGCAAAAACATGCACTCTTACATCAAAAATTTCTACGATAGAAGTTGAGACATGTATTTCTACGCAGAGAAATTTTTTCTATCGATGATGCAAAAGAATTCTATAAATTATGTAAATGTTTGCATCACGAGTTATAGAGCCATGTAAGGTTAAAATTGTTAAAAAATGACTTGATACTCCGTAGCACATGCATACATTGTGCGCATTTAGGCCAGATAAGGTTTCGGTCCGGAGTTGGCTCCACAAAATAAAATTCAGAACATATCGATATGTGGCATGAGTTAATTGACTGATTTTGGTTAGGGTACTGATTCCAGAAAAATGGATTTCTACTTATGCCCCGTCTCACAAATAAGATCGTATGCATAACGATAAGCCTTGTAAGATTTAGATAAATTTCATATGCGGAATTATTACCATTACACTAATGAACGACAAATTATGTACGTATGATTATCGCTAATTCAGATTTTATTCGAGAATTATCACATTCACATCGTCTATATATTCTGTCCACTACTTTATTACATGTCTTACAATATAGATGTGAATGATGATTGCATTCGTCGCAAATCTTGTAAGATCAAATTTTCTAGCACCGCGGACGACTCCCCTGCCAATGTATGACTATATGGTTGTTAACCCGTATAAAAAATTTTTCACAATATTCTGAAAGGATAATTTTACCGTTACTAAAAGTTATAATAAATTTGACTCTTGTTTATATATACTGTAAATTTTAATATAATTACAAAAAAAAACATTGTCTTTTTATTTTATAAGGCTCCATATCCGCATTGCACACAAAGTTTCGGAGGTAACAACGTTTCTAAATTTAAGCTGTTACAGGCTACACAAATCCAAAATATGAAAATGGCCATTCGGACTTGTGCAAAAACATTTCTCAGTTTCATTCGACTCTTCAAAGAATTATATAATTTCACTTCGTTCCTAGCATAAAATATTATCATTTAAAAATGTTGAATGAATGGCTTAAAGAAGCTATTAATGAACAAAATATAAAAGATTTTGGCTATAATGAATTCAACAACTTTTGCAAAATTGGTGAAGGAGGATTTGCTGTAATAAACAGAGCAGAATGGAATAAGTTTGGGCTGACTGTCGCTCTCAAATGTTTAAAAGTTGATGAATTTGATGAAAAGGCTTCAAAAAACTTCATATGAGGTGCAATGTCTAAAAGAAAGTAATTAACGGATATAAAGATTATTAAATGAATCTAATAACGTCAAAATTCTCGATATAAAGCTTAATAATTTACAATTTGCAAGTTTTCATCCTAATATAAATCGATTCTATGGTGTAACTAAAGGTTGTACTCTATTCAAAATACCTTTAATTAAATAATTATTGACCTATAAAAGAATTTCATCGAAATTAGATCATTCAAACAAGTATAATATGGTTTTCAATATGCCGAAGACGGAAATTTACGCCAATATTTAAAAAACAATTTTTCAAAGCTTCAATGGAATGATAAATTACGCATTGCCAAAGAAATAACGCAGGGTCTTGCATTTTTACATAAACTTGATTTAGTTCATAGAGATCTTGTAAGATAAATTTTTCATCGTATGCCATTAATTAATGATAATGACTTATTAATGATAATGACTTAAAGTGTAATTTTTGTACTTTATAGCATTCTAAAAACATATTGGTTAATGAAGGAAGAATGATGATTGCAGATTTTGGTTTATCTAAAATGGCATCAGATAGCCTAGCTTCTACTTCAGATATTCATGGAGTTCCAGCCTATATTGAGCCAAAATGTTTTAAGGACCCTTTGTATAAGCGTGATAAAAGATCTGATATTTATAGCTTGGGTGTTATTTTTTTGGGAAATCTCTAGTGGACGGCCACCATTCCAATTATCATATCAATCATCATACCAATCAACACATTGGTTTGCTCTTATTCAAGCATTTAATGGGAAAAAAGAAGAGGTTATAGAAGGCACACCACCTCAATATTCAGAGCTTTACACGTGTTGCTGGAATAATATTCCTGCTGAACGTTCAGAAATTAAAACAGTTCTTGGTGCCTTGAATCAACTTATTTTTGGACCAATACATCATGATATCATACAGAATCATCCAACAGCCTGGTTTAATGAGGCTATTTTAGAGAATAATATTAAATGCTATGATCATGATGTACTTAAAACCTCTGAACTCTTAGGAGAATTTTCTGAAAAGACTTATAAATGTGAATGGAAGAACAGAGAACTAATCATAGCTAAATATATAAGAGTTGATTTAGATCTAGATAAAAGAGATTTTCAAGAATTTGCAAATGAATTATTATTTATAATAAATTCTGGACATCCAAATATTATCGGATTTTATGGATTTGCAAAGTGTGTATTTTTAAATAATATATGTAAATAATTGCCTTCATATAAATTATATTAACTTGGTTTAAATAAATAGAAATGTTGATGGTGATTACTATATGATTTTGCAATATGCTGATAATAGTAATTTACACTTTTATCTAGAGCAAAATTTTTCAAGTCTTGAATGGGTTGATAAATTGCGTATTGCTAAAGAAATAGCTGAAGGTCTTATGTTTTTACATACTAATAAAATAATTCATAGAACTCTTGTAAGTATATTACATAGTTATAAGTTTTCAGACGAATTTGATTAAAACATGACAATAATAATTGACGTTTATTACAGAACTATAGGAAAATCTTGGTTCATAGAGGAAGAATGTTAATCTCAGGCTTTAATTTAAAGAAAAGATGTAAATCAGCAGTAAATTCGGGTTCAAATGGCCCAGAAGGTGAACCAGCATTTATAGACACACAATGTTTCATAAATGCTTCATACACGCTTTCTGAAAAATCCGATATCTATAGCTTTGGTGTTATTCTTTGGCAAATATCTAGTGGAAAAAAACCATTTCATAAATTTAAACGTATACAAATTGCTATAAGAATATACCAAGGCGAACGTGAGAAACCAATCTCGGATACCCCTGTAGAATATGTAAAACTTTATTCTAGTTGCTGGGATACAATACCAGATTTAAGACCAAGCATTAGCGAAATTATCATGCGACTAAACACATTTGATATTAAAAAAAAATCTGAAATGTATGTGGAATGAGAATCTAATCTAAAGATTCATGGCTGTAGAGATAACGTATTACAAATCGATGTGTCATGAGCTAATTGACCGAAATTCGTAACTAAAGTTTTTTTATGTGGAATTTATTCTGACACATTGTTAATGAATATCTATGTTATATAGATAAATTATATAGCGGAAAATAAAACTTTGTTATTATGCCTGTCTTCGACGACACCAAATCACTAATTCTGATTTATTATTTGTGGTTCCTTTAGAAATTTTCACATTCGCATTGCTTATATATTCCATCTGCCACCTTTTTGCATGTTTTGCAATACAGATGTGAATGGTGATTGCATTCGTCACAAACCTTACACCCGTGCTTCCACCCTCTAAAGATGTGCCACTTTTCGATATAATTTCGGCTTTTTTTATTTGTATATGTATTGTTATGATTTTTTATGTTGTATTAATAGAAAAATAATTATACGTGGCTAAAAAATTTTTTATACAAACCTGTAATTTGTGACACTTGTGTTTATATTTACAAACAAACAAATTATACATAAGCTTATATGTATGAAATTTGGTCTGCCATTTTGTTATAAAACGAATTTATGTAAATTCCCCTTTATTATAACATTCCCCGATATACAGTAGAAATAATAAAAATAAAATAAAAGTCGCTGACCCAGAGGTCAGCTGTGTAACAGTTACACAAGGCGCAGTATATGTATGATTTTATGATTTAAAGTTCTCTGTAATATAGTCAATGCTCTTCCAACTTAATTTTGAAATTCTTAGTGCCGAATAAGATTTAACCTGTTGCATTTTATCAACACCAATTTCAATGAAAAGCTCATATATTTTTTGGGCTTTTTCTGTTTGCTTCCAATGTGTAGTATCATTAATCTCTTTAGGCAATTGCTTTTTTACTTCTTTATCTACTTTACTCTGGGCCTTACGATCTCGATATTTTTTTTCATTTTTATAATAATTTAAGTGATCAAATAACTTTTTACCAAATTCAAAATAACAATTTAAAACCTTTTGACTTGCAATATCATTATCAACTTTGGCTTTACCAATTTCTTTGTAAAGATAAGTATAACTATCTTCAGATAACTGAGAAGCAAATATTAAATCTTTATTAACACTATCATCTTTTAATTCTTTGATAAGTTTTTTTATTGTAGAGGGTTCGCCCTTCTTAGTAGTTGACTTCTGTCTTTTATCAAATTTATCTGGTGATTCTATAATATGTTTTTTTTGTGTTCTACTTTCATAAAGTGGGGGGTCTTTCTGATCTAATAATGGTGATACAGCCATTGGAGAACCTAATCCAAAGTTATCGTCTAACATTTCTGTAAGAGCAGAAGTTTCACTAGACTGAGATGATGATTCAGAAAACCTTTATTCAGATACTACTGAATCAATGATTTTATTACAATCAGATAAAGGGTATTTGTTTTCTATTGTAAGTAAAAATTTTTTTCTATACATTTTCTATGATATATATGTCCATATAAAAGTATTGTAAATGATTTAAAATTAACAGATAATATTTTGTTTTCATATAGTTTACATGGTGACAATTCTGTAACAATAATATCTTGTACTATGTTATGTTTTGTTTTTTTTAAAATATTAAAAGTGAAGTTTTGAAGATTAGTAAGAGATATAATAATGATTAGATACCAGATAAGTATTAACAATGAAATTACTTATACTTTGTTTATTTTTATAGTTTATTCCTCATGACTAACAAACCTAATTTGCAGATTTTATTAAACTAATTTCAGATTTGGTGATCTGTTTATTCACGAATTATTAGTATAAAGGATCATTCGATCTTTGCTAGCAATCATGGATAAAAAATTATGCTTAAGGGTAGACCTGAAGGGTTATTGTTCTGCAATAAGTGTGGTTAGTGAGTTGGTTAGTATATATAACTTTATTAAAAAAATATCTAATAGATCTGATTATTTCCAGATAGATTTATTGTAAAGCAGGCCTGAAGAAAAGTGGACTCTAATAGAAGATTTCAGCGATGGTATCCAGAAGTGTAAGTGGGTTATATGTTTGCATGTTATATCATATATATCAAACATATGGATTTTATTAAGTAATCTTTTATCTTTTAATTTGAAAATTTTATTTTAGTTTACTAATTATATGTGGTATATATTTTTTCAAAATTAAATAGTCAAGTTAGAAATTGATATATAGTATTATGTAACAAAGTTATATATATTTATTCTTTCAGAATTTCACAATCACCATATAGGTATGTTGTAATCCTATTTTGATCTATCCACAATTTTGTATCTAGTGGATTAATGCTCCTCTTTGTTTGCTTTATTCTATATATTTGATGTCTGTAACTTCAAAGGAATTGTGTGATTTATGGTTGATCCTCTTTTCTCTCTAAAGCACAGTTCTTGAATATTTTATGAGTAAACTCTCTTTTGATAAGTGAATTTTTTAGGTCTTTTGCTTTTATCATATTTTTTTCTGAATTTTTATATACAATACTATAGCATTTTGCATGAATTCCTGCATAGCCAATAGCTCAATCTCTTCCATTTTTATCCTTTCACTTACCTATAACTTTAGTATTTTTTAAGACATACTTACCTTCTTCATTGATTATCTACTGATCTTCTAAAAGATTTTTTACTAGCCAATGATCTTCTGGATAGTCACTAAAATTATATAAATCACAATTATCAATCATGTCCTAATAAATATTTTCAGTTTTAATTTCTATGATTAAAGAATCTGTATCTGTATATAAAAGCCTTACTTGATCCTCATATTTCTTTTTGAGATGACCATATCAGAAGTCATACATAAAGTATTTGGAAAGATCAAGAATACACACCCTTATATATTCTGGTTTATTTAGTTTTATATTAGTCTGTCTTTGATGCATAGCTACTAAGTTTGCCTTATAGAAAATTTTTCAACTAACAAATACTAGATCTGAAATTAGTCTTTGTAATCTACATTTTTCTCTTACCTGCCTAACTAAATCAATATTTACCTATTTTTTAACATCTTTCATAGTTTTTCCAAAAACTGAGTTGTTCATCAATTTTCAAAAATCTTTTTCAAAGGCATTCTTTGCTTTTGCATGTCATTGAGTATTTATTGCAATATATGGTTCCAACCATGGTGATTGTTTGAAACCTAGAATTCAATATACTTTTTCAAGAATATATCCTTCCTTTATATATTGTTGTAGATTTCTATAATAAATAACATAATAGTCCTTATCATGGAGAGTTAGTATAAGTTTTTCTGTATCTGAACATTGCTTCCCTAACTATTCTTTTTGTTTTGAACTATACCAATTATATGGTACTTTCATTCGTTCTGGACACATAGGATAGTTCTGAAACTTTGGATATAATTCTTTTGGAATTGATAACTTAACCTCTAAACAACATCCTTGATTTGATTTTTCTTTTAATCTTAAAATTT